ACCAAAGACTTTTTAAAAAATGGTACTAACAGCTGCCCCGCTTGGCGCTCAACATTAAGAGGTTAGTGTTAGGACTGGTTGACCTGGTGTCAGGATAATGTGACTGGGTGGGACATTATTCCACATGTCACATGAGAGCTAGACATCACTATAAACCGTCACACTGCAGACATCATAGCGATACGACTGAAAAGCTACGTTAAAGCTACGCTAAAATATATATCACACACACGCGCGCGCGCGCGTACGCACCATTATTCCAAACTTTAGTAAGACTGGAAGAATAGTTATATTTATGATAAATTTCAGCATTAGAGCTTTAACTATGCGAAACAATAGAACTCGTACATGAGCAGTTTTTAAGTTTAGTTGAACCTTGATGGGTTCTATCAACTTCAGCCTTTCTTGATGCAACTAGTGATTCGAAATTTGGGCCATTGGATCGACCCACTGAACTCATCCATGAGCACTGGTTGCCCGTCCAGTCGAACTATTCCGGTCAAATAACATTATGAAAACTGTTGGGGCGTTGGGATTGCATCTGTATACGAGCACTTTGTTCGCCTGAGCGTAACTTTAACATGCCTCCGATACCACGTTCTATAAGCAAATGCAATTTGAAGTTGGTTTACTATTGAAATGTGTCTCATTAAACTCCTGGCGCTGAGAATTAATATACGAGGTCATGGTTATATGAAGAAAGTCTCTAATGCATAAACAAGTAGCAACTCATCTGTGATAAATACCGAGATTTCGACAACTAAATGCGCATCAGACATTGTTGTCCAATCCATATCGCTGCAACCTCCAGTGACTTAATAAAGACCTCAACTAAATCCTGTCCAACGTACAATGCTAGCGGAACATTAGTTCCATCACATTTGAATGCATTCTCGCATAATCCATATGGGACTTGTCCAGAAATATTAGTTATATATGATTGAACCTCCTTAAGCAAAGCTTCCTCCAACGGGACTTTCATGCATTCCTGCATGAATTACATGCGTCGTTAATACATGCATGAAACGTCTACATGGAGATAGCGGCACCTCTGGACAATGCTATAATGACAATTTAACCTCAGTCAGATCGCGTACTTGTGTAGATATTCGAATCGACTAAAAGCCACTGTTCCAGGTATAAAAAATACCCACCAAACACACACACACACACACACACACACCAAACCAAAAAAAAAAAACATTAACAGCAAAATTCATGGATGATGCTTATAAACATACTGATGTAGGTAACTTGTATAGAAAATTCTATTTTGTCCAATTCGCGTTCACCTAGGTGTTTTCATACAGTTGGATCTTCGAGAAGACTTATATGGGGAACAGGAACATCATCGTCTGCACGTGCAGACAGAGTTTACCTAGCACCTTCTCGGGTGTAGTCGTCAAACGTTCTGAGAATCGATGCCAAACCTTTGTTGATTTCATGTTTGGCTGTTGGCGATTCAAAATTAGAAGGGTGCCACTGAGAAAGTATCTGTACATGCTCTGCACTCTGTCTTTGGAAACTGGAAAAAGGCAAGAAAAAGTCCGCAACAAGAGTAAGTGGAGTCTGATCTAGCACCAATGTCGACACGTAACGGAGTGAAAAAATATAATTTACAATATTCATAACGACATGTTCTGTAGTAGGGTTCACATTTCTTTAAGGTATAAGCTTTTACATTAATTCTCAATGTTATCGATCTTTCTGTGTACAGAGCATTATTTAATTACCTGATTTTTCCAGTCACCTTCACTTTTTCTCACCATAAGCATGAGGTAATATCTGCATTCGAAGGCTAAAGTCTAGATAATATATTATAATTTTACAAAGCCCATCAAGCGAAAAACCATATATTTATACTACGGTAATATGAATTTCTAAATCAGCTCTTAGCAAATAATCATGCTTGTTCTTTCCGTGATCAAAACATGTGCTCGCAATAATTAATATAATTTCTTTCAAGTCGGTTTCAGCCCAAATGAGCTGGAATAGCCCATCATGGAGTACTGCACGAACCAGACCATTTTACCTGTGCACCTAATAATATCAAATGTCCTAGACTCCTATGGATTTTGTCTTACTGGAAGTGAATTTGGAAAATTATCAATTTGTGTGCTTTGCTCCATTTCTGATGTGCTGTTGATTAATTCGTATACATCATGAAAGTCGGGTGTGAATGCAGTTGCAATAATATTTTGAAAGTGTATTTCGAATGGGTTTGCTCATTGGTATATTCGATGTTGGTGTCATCTTCATTTCAGTGTCGCTTAGTGTTAGTGATTTAGAATTTATTTTTTTTTTTGCACGATATAATACAATAACCTTGATATAATACAATAACCTTTCACTCTTCGTTTTGTATGCATCGCCCAATTTACGTTGTTATTGTTTGAACGCGATCCCTAACTGTTAAGATGATCCAAATGCTATTTGAAATATCAAGCAACATCTTTTAGGTCTCTTTAACGAATCTTATATAGTCTCCGCTCGGTATGTGCTTGTCTATTAGCATTTCTTTGAGATTACAGACACGCTGCGGTATCAAGCTGTGGCACTCTAATTTATTAGTCAGCATACGTATTTTTACATAATATGGAAATCATTTATCCTGACAAAGTCACGTTACTGGTTCATGTTGCCGTGAAGTCGACGGGACCATCTGGAACGGGCTGATGCACAAGACTACATATTAGGTAGGGCCTTCATGTGTGATAAACGTCATCAATGCAGGTGAATGTTTGACGTTTTCTTCATAGGCCACGAATCGATATAGTAAATTCTACATGATATGTGTCTGCTAATAATCCTAGCAACAGTTGTAGGATTATTTGATATGCAAGCTTCATCGTTTCAGTGATTTTAATTGCAGTTTGTGTAATAAAAGCATAAATTTTATGTCAGACGAAATTACTGAGAGTGATTTGGTTTTGTGATCCTGTGACAAGTTAGAATACTAATACTATATAAAGGGCCAATATGAAGAAATATGTCGCGCTCTGGGGTGCTTTATTTTTCTGTGTGGTGTTCGTTAGCCTGTATTTGATGATGGAAACTGTCAGCACAAGTCAGCGCCGGTTTCCGGACATCGATACGGTAAAACTTTTTTTCTTTATTATGATCAATGAACCAGTGTCACTGGTTTTAACGCTCTGAAGCACTTGGGATGCTAAGAACAATTTTTTTTATGCACAGATTTAATGCCTCATTCATCGCCTAGTATAAGAAAAGTCATTAAAAACTGAGATAAAAAATGGTCTTTTTTGGATAGCTGTTTAGGGCATAATCAATTAGCATTTTTCTATCCACATATGATTTGATTAATCAGAGATACCTACTACCAAGAGTTATTTGCCTCTAGCACATCTAACCAAAATCTCACCTCTGCATCCCTGTCATCTGACTGTCATCTAAATTCATGTGCCAGCGCAAATTGGATTCATATCTAGCTGAGAAAAATCATATATATATATATATATATATATATATATATATATATATATATATATATATATATATATATATATATATAAAGAATTATAAATATATACCAGACAGAACAGACTGTGCTATCCCTGGATTCTGTAGTAGAATCTTGATAATAGTGCCATCATTTTTTGGTGATGCGTGCTTATTAGTGACGGTATATGGGTTGGTGCGTGCAGGCAAGGCGATGGGTGCCATTTACTCGCGGACCTGGGTTCGAAACTCGGTAGAGTACGAATTTAATTTCTCTAACCTGTATGATAGTATTGTTTGTATTAAACTATTATTTCTGCCCACTATTATCAAGATTCTACTACAGAATCCAGGGATAGCACAGTCTGTTCTGTCTGGTATATATTTATAATTCTTTGTAAAACAAAACTCCTATATACCTTGATTTCTTTCAGAGGAATCTGGAACGACTGTGTGAATATATGAGAATTAATTACTAGGTCGTCATGCGAGTGTGTCTGCTATGCACGAGCTTATATAACAACGATTCAGTGCCATCATTTTTTGGTGATGCTTGCTTAGTCGTGACGGTATATGGGTTGGTGCGTGCAGGCAAGGCGATGGGTGCCATTTACTCGCGGACCTGGGTTCGAAACTCGGTAGAGTACGAATTTAATTTCTCTAACCTGTATGATAGTATTGTTTGTATTAAACTATATATATATATATATATATATATATATATATATATATATATATATATATATATATATATTCTGGAAAAATATGTTCCAGCTTCTGACATCTGTTGTAAATGTTTTTGTTCAATATGGCCCTCTATCGTCAATAGTGAAGTTTTAGCACCACAAGTGCTATTTGCAGTGACAAACAATCGACATGTCCACTGAAAAACGGAGAAGCTAAAATTTCTTGCAAAGATATTGGAAGTTATAAATTTTGATTATCAAATTTCTTTATTATCTAGTAAACTGCATACGTCATGCCCATGCTCATTAAAATATTTTAATAAATTTAAATCTTTCGGTCTAATTCAAGTGCTATCGTTTCACCTCGTTATGTTGACCATATTGGACTTTTCTGACTTGTTATTTAACTTTATTAATGCACTATCAAGCGACACACAGTGTTAGACACAGTGCTATAGAAATTCAACTTTATTCGTTCCTTCTTGTCCGACTGATTAATTGGAAGTTCATACTATCAGTGGAATTCGATTTCCGGATCAAAAGTCGGTTATGATCTAATTTCTAGATACAGTATGTGTCCTATAATTTTGTCTAAGACAAGATTCAGAAATCATATAAGTTTTAAATAAATGGGGGATGTTTTCCTATAAAACTTATTCAACCCATTTCATAGGGGATCAAACAAATCATATTTGATGATAAGCCAATATATCTCACACCAACACAGTGTAGTTTTAAAATTTTCTCTCAGTTCATTAGGCTACCCATTTGATAAGTCTATCATTTCATTGAAGATGGGCTAGGGAGATTTTGAGGAATATTGGAAAGGGAGGCAGTTGAAGCCTATTTTGTAAT